AAGGTTTCCAGTTCGACCGTCTCCAAAGACACTTACACACATCCGCACACAAAAAAACTCAAAGACTCCGGCTTCTGATGTGAGCTGACAACTCATAAGCCACCGTTTCCTCATGCTGCTTAACTCGGACCACATTTCTCCCACAGAGCCCCTCCGCTATCCCCGGCCTGACTTCTCTCTCCCTGCTCTCTCTCCACGGCTGCAGCCTCAGCATCTGGTTTGAGTATAGCAGCATGTGCCACTGTGTTACTGACAGAAGCTGGGTGTCTAGGCTTCATTTTTTATTTGTTTTTTTTCCCCCATCGTCCTCATCTCTCTTCCTGCTCGGCTCACAGAATTCAGATGTTGAGACACTGCAGCTTGTGTTCTGTTGATTTTTTTTTGTCTTTTTCCCAAAAGGAATAAATGCATGAACATGACATAAATGTAAACATTAACATTAGCTCCTTCCAATTCAGTTCTGTTTAAATAAACTTCAACAAATATCACATCAAGGCACTGATATCAGAATCAGAATCAGAAATACTTTAATAATCCCAGAGGGAAATTATTAGATTGTTTAATTGTTTAACTTTAATTGTTTAATTGTTTAACTATTAAAGACCAATTCTCATCAAATTTTGTGCAATAGGCTTGTTGGTCACAAAATCTAGCATTAGATTCTAAATTAGAAATGTCAAATAGGGCCAATTAAGATCCAGACTGGCCTTAAATCCAATTTTCCATCATCAGTGAATGAACATTGGATCATGGTGATAGTGGAAAGAAAATAACTTTAAAACCTTCAAGCTCAGGTATCGCAAAACGCCATGTCCTCATCAGACGATGATGAATTTAATGCTTGTTAGGTTCAAAATGGCTTTGTTACACAACATTAATACCGACCCTGTTGGTTGGATGAGGATAGACTTTAGTTCCAAAACCAGTGTAGGTTTCCCATGAAATTGTATTACAAGTATGAACGGAAATATTCAATGCAACTTCTGTGATGTTGTTTGCAAAGACTTGTTATTATCTCATCTTCCATTGCTTGACATTGGATCAGTGTCATAGACGAATGTTAAACTATCCTTTATTCATCTTGATATTGAATGTTTGTATTAGAATTTGCTGAAAAATGATGATGAAAGCCATAAGGGGGGTGAAAATGCTCTGCCATTATGCTGACTTTTGCCCGTGCTTTTGACCATACAAACTTGTTAACAAGGTTTAGTAAAAAAAAGTCACTGAAGGTGGTCTTTCCAGTTCTTTCTGAACTGAATTATTTCTGCCAAATTAATGAATAATCACTTCTAGCAAACTTTCATTTAGCTCATAATGCTATGATTATTTCTCTGCTCTTGCTCAGTGGTGGATGTGATCTATATCAGACTTTAATTGCGCTCCTCTTCAGTTCTCGGGTATGTTTTAATAATTTTAGTGCATGCTGGCATATACAAATCACCGTCAGTTACCAGACAGTACTGACCATAATTCCTTTGAAAATGAATGCAATAAAGTCGCACAGTTGAAATAATTGAGTGTCTTCATTACATGTCCTAACCTTTGACGTAAGAAGATGTGATAAATCAAAGAGTCGTGTCGTGTTTGTCTGTTTTGCAGACCGAAGCCAGGGAAACAATTCCGAGAATGTTGGCAGAACTTGACCTGGGCCGGACAGAGAAGTGCGTGAGGGTCAACTCGGTGTCCAGCGGCCTGGCTGAGGCTGACCTGGAGGTCATTCTACAGGGGAAGGTTCTTCCACCTGCCATCATGTTGCCCAAAGTGGAGGACACTCAAGAGGTCCAATGGGTGAGCTACAAAACACATCCCATGTTTGAACTATATTGGGCCCAAAAATTGCTATTCATATATTTTCAATTGTTTCTCCTTTTGATTTAAGCCCAGGATGATACATAGGGATGAATTAATTTAAAAAGAGGAATAAAATAAGTTTCAAAAACGCATGGAGAAAAAAAAAAAACTAAAGGAATCATCAAAGCATTTGTAACACGTTTTTTCCATTCCCCAGTAAAAAGGGCAACTGATCCATGTGTCAGGACTGTCTGAGACAGAGAGCGTGTTTTTCTTGGCCGCCGCTCAAGCAAAGGATGACATTTCTTCAGATTAGCTTTAGAAGCCCGATAGCTTTCAGTAAGATCACAAAAGTCCCTTCTGCTACTGGTGAGTTCACTGGAGACTAGGATCACTCAGCCCCAACACAACACACAACACAGAACACACTCTTCATTACAGTCACTGACTCATTATGCCTTTAATGCCTTAAAATGGGCTTTATCCGTCCACACATTTAGATAATTTCATACTTTTATGAAAACTCTGGTTCATACTGAATGATATCAGATTTAGCTCCTGGCACAAGGTGTGTGAAACAATTAAGAACATATTTTTTTGTTTTTATTAAATTTTCTATGGTTTACTTAGGAGGTTTGGTGGTGGTGGGGGGATGGGGGGATGGGGGGGTTGCTCTGGCTTTCTATAAAGTTGTGCTGTACGGATGTCAAGCCCTAAAAGGTCAGGAGACAGTGACATCATTAATGCAGACCTCTCTGATCAGCTCCACATGCTCCACTTACCGAAAGAAACCAGGTTGCCTCCTCCCCTCTCTTCTCCTTGTGTTGTAGAAATCAGGAGAATGTGGTATTCCGGTTTTTAGTATGTTTTTTGTGTTGTTTCTCAGGTGAGCAGTCATGTCCAGCCTTTATTCAACAGGCTGCTTTGTCCTTTTTAAAACCTTTACTTAAATCTGAGGTAAAGCGGATGGATCTGGCCTGGCCCTGAATGTCTGAATGTCTCAGTGCATGCATATACAGCGTGTGCACACGCATACACAAACATCATTTTATACACGGTCGTAGGGCCGGCGCAGGAAGTTTTTAACTAGTGGTTTTAATTAGAACACGTCTATTTCCTGCCGCCCTCTCTTTCTTCTGAGTATAATTGCTGACAGGTGTTCCCTAATTCCCCCCCCCCTCCCAGCTTTTCACTCTTGGATACTTTTCTTTATTTAAAGAAACACTTTTGTCCAGCTTTTTTTTTCCTTTTCAACCATTCACTGTCATTACTATGGTCATTATTATTATTATTTTTTGCCCCAGTCAGCACATTAAACACTGGAAGATGCAGGTAAATTGGCAGCGTATGCTTTTCTTTTTTCAAAAGTAATGCTTTTGAATGAGACAATTAGATGAAAATAAGATCAAATTTAACCAAATAATTCATTTAAAAGTTTTTATTTTTTATATAAAATCTTGGTTATTTTATTTTTAGTGGCACTATCTGTAAGTGTGCTGCAATTCTCGGATAAAAATATATATTTTTTTGGTTTATTTATGTGCTGTTTGTGTGTACCAGCAGGTGCATACGTGCTCTCTCTTTACTTTAATGTGATCTTACTTTATACCTCACAACTTTTTTCATGTCAATTTTACCCAGACTTTTTTGTGTGTCAGGGTGTGTGTGTGTGTCTCAGTTGTAAGCATGTGCCTGATTTTCCCCTACTCTTGTTAGGCTTGGCAGTAAATCCCTCACTTGTTTATTTTTCTCCCTTTTTTATTGATATTGGCACAGGAGCATCCAGACTGATTTGTCGCTAAAAGATGGACTTGCTTGTTTCTCTTTGTGCGGAAATCTTTTGCCCCGTCTCTCTGCTCTCCTCCAGCCCCTTGTGTGACTGACAGGCCTTATTGGGCTATAACAGGCGTAACTCCCCCCTTTTGTCCGAGGACAATTCTCACACAGATTCGGAGCCGTGTGCATTCTTTGCCCACCACACTATTTGGTGTGCACCGGGACCAAAAGAATCGCAACCCTGTCCCGCTCCTCCTCCTCTACTCCTCCTACTATCCCCTCCCCTCATCCCCTTCTCCGCTTCCCCTCTGTGAAATGAACACTTCAGCAGGCCGGAAACATTTAATCTGGCCCCCTTTTGAGGAAAATTAATTGAAACTTGTCCCACTATAGCCTCCTTTCTCTCTTTCTTCATCTCTCCCTCCTTCTCTTTTCATGATTCGGAGGTGAAATTGTCAGAGGGCTTGTTTGTAGTGCAACTTTGAATGGCGAGAAGAGGTGTTGTTTCTGCTTTTCGAGTCCCCTTTATTTTGTCCTCCTCCATTCAGCGGCACATAATACCTCAGGTTTGATAGCCATTGACTGCTAATAGTTGGCGTGTTTGACAGAACAACAATAAACAGGCTCTAAAGTGCCTCTTGCGCGGTGTAAATCAGACCCTCGAAAGGGCATAATGGCTGAAGAGGAGAGTGTTGCAGGAGGACCGAAACATGTAATCATCGGGGCTCTTTGGCCAGCGGTGCCGCATGGAGCTGTCACTTGTTTTCCTCCGGCAGAATCTAAACAGCTCACTCGGCTCGCCGCGGCCCTGTTAGGGTTTGCGTGGCGTGGTGTATTGGTGGTAATCTCCGTGTGTGATATCTGTTCGGTTTTCCCCCCACGACGGGGCCGTATCTATCTAGTTTTTCTCTGTCACAGAAATAGGTTTATCTACACCCTCTTTTCACACTCCCTCTCGGACCCCCCGCCCACCCCTTCCTGTGTCGGAGAGGGAGGGGGCATATTATGCTAAGCCCCCAGCGTTAGTTTTTATGTTGCCATAGCAGCGTTGCTCCCACAGGGTTGTGACCCTGTGATGATTACAGTACAAAGCCTATTGGGTCTTGAAAACCTCTTTGAAGATGAAAAGTCTTTGATGGTTTGTATTTATGCAAATCTCTCAGATATGATTTATCCAACTGAGATTGAATGGAGAGATGATTAAAATTGCACCTATTTTTTGAAACCCGTCAATGGAGGCCACTCTTTCAGTTTTGGGGAAACAAGAGTGGTAAGTGTGAGCTCAGAGGTTATTTTGCGCTTCATTTGGAAAAATAGCGGCGTTGTACCTGAGGTTATTTAGAACAGTCTCTTACCCCCGTGTGTCAAAGACGGAGCAAAAGGAGCAGAAGGGGGGGTGACGTGGAAGTAGACATTTCTACTCTGAGGTTTTTCCACTCTCGTCTTTTTTCCTTTTTTTTTTTTTTTTTTTGCTTTTTGTCTCGCTTTGAAAAGAAATATCTGACGGAGGGGGCTTTTGTGTGTTTCCAGATGATAGATTTAGGAATTTGGGCTACCCCACTGGCAGTCCAGAGCTAGCTGTGAACTGGTCTGTTGGAAAAAATCGGAATGCTTTGGTGTTCAAAGAATTAAACTTGGTTTTAAAGCCCTACTTAGGTGAGCTTGCATATTAGCTGGAGTCGTGCAGAATAAAGGCCTCAGCAAGTGTCACATCACACTCTGGTCGTTGCTCCAGTCTCACTGTTCCTCCCGCTATGGAGGAGGGAATAAAGTGGCAGTAAAACACACTCAAAGACATCCTGAATCTTGTTTCTTCTCACCCTTTTTCTATTTTGTTTCTTCTTTGCTTCTTGCCCCCCCCCCATCCGGTACGTTTTCATGTGCCGGGGCGTGCATGTGTGCATTTACATGTGTGCACACTCTCTCAGGGGAACACAAGACGTAGCTGAGCACAGGTTCTGAAGGAAGGTAAAGCAATAGGCTTCAGACGAAAGGGGGGAACCCCGGTGATCATGTAAAATATTTCATTTCACCCGCTTTTTGTCAACGCTCCCCTCGCTCCCTGCACCATTCGAAACCTCACAGACGTGTGTCTGAATGAGGACAGAAACGGAAACGGTGCGGGTAATAAAGGTGTCAAGATTCGGATCAGAAGTGAGCTTTTGTATGTTTAGGCTTTCTACTTTTCCCCTTAACCTGACTTACCTCGCTCTGGATTTTGTAGGGGGGAAAAAAAATCATAAAATTGATCATGATGCATCTGAACATGTCTTTTTATTTATTGTTTGAAAAAACAATTATTTATTTGCCTATGTGTGTCAATTGGCATTGACAAAAGTCCACTATGATGTCTTTTTTTTGCAGGAAACTGAATAGAAACAGACGCTAACTCCACATATATAGCTTTATTATGACCACATATTATGTGTTTCAGAAAAGCACAACCTCCAGATTGCTGGAAGCGTGTGTACAAAGTGGTGACAGCAAATTAATTGAACGCCATTGCCGAGAGGTTTGGGGCAGTGTTTTTTTTTTGTTAATGAGTGGTGTCTGAGATGGTTCCTGTGTGCTTAGTTTGTTGACAGGTTTGAGCGCAACTTGAAAGGACGCTCGCTGACGGAGCCCATTCGCCTCGTCACCTTTGTGGAAAGCGCTGTGGGCTTGCTCAATTTTAAGGTAAATTGCAAACAAAACCCCAAATCCCCACCTTACTCAACCCACCCCCCCATAAAACGAAAAATGCATGCGTAAGTCATTTTTTTTGTTTGTCCATTGTTCACTTAAAGATTAAAGACTGCACCATGAGCAGAGAACTCCACATGTCCAAAACCAAAAGGATTCAAAAGCTTTCTGAATGAGCCTTTTGAGTTTTTTTTTTCCGGTTGTTTTCTTTCTTTCTGACATTATTTAATTAGCGCTGTTTTGATATCATCATAGTGAAAAAGTTCTTGATGATATTTTGGCCGGCATCAAAGTGATTTCTGTCACAGTGCGGGGTGACCTTCGGCTACACGGGGAAAAGGGAACAGTTATGGGCATTTGAGGAGAAACCAGCTGGCAGGGCTTCTTTTGGTTTGTCTTTTGGTTTTCCTCTCTCTCTCTCTCTCTCTCTCTCTCATTCTCTCTCCTCTGTGGCGTTGTTTGTGGCGTGTGAGTGTGTGTGCATGTGTGTTTTTGATGGCGGGCAGAGTGGTGCCTCTGTGTGTTTTCTTGAGCACACCCTGTTTTTTTCTTTTTGTTTTTTTTTCTTTTTGCCAAGACTGAACCCCATGTTACAAGCGTGGAAAAAAAAAAGAACTTGCTGTTGCACAGCTAGTGGTGATATTAATTTGGAGGTCAACAAAAGCATGAAACACATTCTTATTGTTTCACACCCTGCCAAAGACGATCAAGATTTTCCTTTTTTTTCTGCCCACCATTTGTGGCTGCAACAGTCTCATAGTTTTTTGCTTTTACTTGTTTTTTTGTTGTTTTTTTAAGCCTTGCATTTTTCAAATTTCTTTTAACGGGTTTTGTATGTAAAGCGTCAACACATTTTTAGCTGAGTCTTTTTTTTTATTTTGTTAGATAAATGTCTAAATCAGTGCTTTATCTTTCCATAAAAAAACATTCATTTGGAATATGTGTGTTGAATCAGAAAACGGGGCAAATAAAAAAGTCCTAAAGGGTTTTAAAACTTTACAGCTTTACACTTCCAATGTTTTATTCAAAAAGTGTTTAGGGTAAATAGTCAACCTTTCCTGAGCTTCTTTGTGTCAGGAGAAAAAAAAAAACTTTTTCCTGGCTTTCTGTGTTTTTCTGTGAAGGTTTGTCTTCAAAGGTGTTTCTTCCATATTCAATTAAATATATGCTGCTGAATATTTATGTGAGATTATCTCAAACAAGCAATTCTGATAGCTTTATGAAAATTGTAACAGGAGGCTGTCATGGATTTGTGTAAAATCGCTTAAGTGGAGTGAAATTTATGTCCCCTTTTTTGTGCCTGTTTGACTTTTCTAAGCCTGCAACATGCTGAAACATAAATGCATTCTCTCTAGGCCGTGTGTGACGAAATCCGCCGGCTTGCTCCCAAAGCTGGTCTTCACCATGATGGTGTGGTGTTTGGCTCTGATGACTTCTGCGCCAGCATAGGTAGCAAGTCCTCTTTTTTTTCCTTTTCCTTTTTTTTTTTCAAGGCCACAAATTAGCCATGCTCTCTTTCTCCTCGTGGATTTCCTAGGAAATTATTAGCTGGAAATACTTAAGTTTAATAGAAGGTGTTACATTTTCATTATTGGAACAATTAAGCAAATAGTTGAAGGAATGCAGGATGCATACCTTGAATTACAATGTACCTGATTTATGAAAGAAAGAGACGAAGATGAAGAAAATGGAGGTTGTTTTGATGATTGTTTGCAGGCACTTAACCAATCTTAAAGTGTATTTCACAGCAGAGGGCTCATAAACACTAATAAGATAATGAAAATAACAGAGCGGAAGCTAATATTCAAACCCGTTTTTTATTTCAATGAACACTTTTATATCTATTTAGTTGTGAAACCCCATAGTAAAAATGGTATTTGAATGCTAGATCTGGCTGGTTTGTTTTTAAAGCAATCATGTGTATAACTATGTAATTATCTATATATGTATATGTGTCTGTGTGCATAGATAGATAGATAGATAGATAGATAGATAGATAGATAGATAGATAGATAGATAGATAGATAGATAGATAGATAGATAGATGTAAAACACAGAACAGGTCACCATTCATTTCCTTGGATTGTGACTTTCTTAAGGTGCCACGCGGACTAAGGATGCAAGGGAGCTTCTTTATGCAAGGCAGAAGGTGGTTGTGACCACCAAAGCTTTCGGGCTGCAGGCCATTGACCTGGTTTACATCGATTACAAAGACGTGGAGGGACTGAGGCAACAGGCCAGGGAAGGCGCTCTCATGGGCTTCACAGGTAACATTTCTGTCTACAGACATCATAACTGTCCTTCTTCTTTTACACTGTTTGCAATGTGTTCTTAATTCTTTTTTTTGCCTTTAATTTCTTTTTCATTTTCCGTTCACCATGCGGCATGGTAACATAAATATCTCTCAATGGACAGCATTCACATTATCCAGCAAGGAACCATGGCCTCCTATATTCCAGTCATTCTTTTTCGAAAATGTGCAGTTTTTGATACTTTCTTTTCGGTGCTGTTTGTGATGTGATGCACTTGCAGCATCCCGTCATGACCTTGTTTTCACCTCGTTTCTCCGGTGTTGCAGGTTCTTTTGTGTGTGTTTGTGTTCAGTGTCTGTTCTGATGACGTATTTTTCCTCTCTCTAAGCTTCACCTGCAGATGGCCTTTTTCCATTTTTCCACTCGGCACCAGCTTCCCCTCAAATTTATGCACATAAAGATTTATTATCCCCCCGCTTCTAATTGCATGTAATTGTTGGTCGGAATGACTTGCAGATTATCTCTTGTAGCAAGACGGGGGAAAAAGGTGTAAAAGTCAAACAGAAACAGCTGCTTGATGAAATAAATGGTTAGATTTGATATGGAACAGAACCATGCAAAGTACTGGATTAGTGGCTTACAAGCCATGGGCACTCTGTATAATCTTGGTTAGTAGCTATTACTGGCCAGAGTGTGCTTAAGCAATAATACGGCGCAGCCAAAAGCCTCTACCTGTGCAGTAATTGACCTTGGCACTGCGTAAGCTGAGTGCAGCACCCATTAGTGCAGAGCATGGAGCACACCAATGAAACACAAGCACCCGGCTCTGGTTTGGTTCTGTGACAGTACTGTTTTTGTTTTTTGTTAGAGCTGTATTACTGTCCACCTCCATAAATGACAAATACAGAATGTTTCTATGGACCGTTGTGAAAAAACTGATTTTATTCTTCGTCTTGTTAGTTAGCGGGCTCCTTATTTTATGTGCTGTAAGTTATTTCCTGCCTCCAAAACTAACAAGATGTTTAGTGAACATGTTCCAGGAATAGAAAACAGTTTCCTCAACAAAATGTTCTGCTTTAGGGACCACATTTCACCTTCCATCCCCAGGACATTGCCCATCATTCGCCTGAGAGCACTTTGCTAAATACCAATCCTCCAATGAGATGCCAGCACCACATGGCAGCACAGGATTGGCTGGAGGGCAGGAATGATGTATTTTAGGAGAACCAATGGGTTGTGACTGAGGGCACCTGAGTCACCCAGTCAACCCCTTCACTCCGTCTTTCTTCTGTTGTCCTAAACAACCACGAGCACACACACACACACACACACACACACACACACACCCACTTACAGTACATTTAAGGCTGCCCGTTTCAGTGTGGAAACAGACTCCTGTTGTCTGACAAGAAGTAAAACAGGTGGCAAAAGAGGGAACACACATTTCTTCTGCCTCCGTCCCAGCAGAACAACACAAACTCGGGCTAGCGGTATACACACAGCGGCCTGAGACACAATGCCAGGGCATTCGGCCTATGCGTGCAAACGCACAACTGCTCGCACGTGAGAAACATATCAATTTGTGGCCAGTGGAGTTGTCTGAGCTCTGACGTCAGCCCAAACCCCCCAAAAAACGCACAAAAAGGCTTTAATGCGGAAAAGTGTATATTTTTCTGTAAAAACAACTAATGACCGATGCTTCCTTTTAACCACAGAGCCTTGATTGTGTCAACGCCGTGTGTTTTTCTGAGGTTAGCTAAGGTGAGCAGATCTGGAAGATAGGACTGGATTTCTCCTCCCCCCTCTTCTTCTCCCCCTCCTCTTCTTCTCCCCCTTTATTCTCGGCTAATTTTTTTTTTTTCTTCTTCTCTCGCTCTCTCTCTCTCTCTCTCTCTCTCTCGGCCCGTGCAGCCCGCCCGCTTGGCCACCTTGAAGGATTTGTTGTCGGCGACAGAGCTAAGCCCTAAAGTGTCGAGTTCCTGCTGGCTGCCACTGAGCCGTCGTTCGCACCAGACGTCTCATAGCCTCAACTTATCGCTACAAGTTTGATCTGCAAATGTACACGGGATTATGTCTGTGGCGTTCACCCACGTTTGAGCAGAGAGGGGGCGTCCAGCTGGGGGGGGGTGTTTGTGGTGGACAGCGTTTACTCTTCATTAGGCTTCGATTTCGGCAGCTCGCTGTCCGAATTCCTCAAACGTGTTCACCGTTAGCCAAGAATATTTGGAGAATTTGCGTGGAATGAACAGGGCTTTGGGGTTTGTCCATGCTTTGCCTAGTGTAGGGATCAAATTTGCGGTTCTCTGCGATTTTCTCGTCGGTTCCCAATGGCTGATGTCGCCATTTGTGCGTTTTGGTCCTGAAATATGGTGAATATAAACATGGGTGGTGAGACGTTTTATCAGCAGGGATGGGAATGGACAGGAGAGATGTGAAGGCTCGATGTGAACCCCGATGAGCAGCGTTCTGTAGCCCCGTGCTGCCTCTCTGACTCCCATCAGAGTTCCACAGGAAATACTGACACACAACTCATTCTCGTTCGCTTCCCACCTCTTTCCTCTCATCGTCCTTTTCTCTTGCAGCTGCCACTTTCTTCAGATTCTTGTTTAATTTCTGTACTGATTGTTTTTTTTGGGGAGGGCGGAAATGTTCATAGTCCCAAACCATCACGTCCTCTGTTTGATCCATTTGGAGGCCTCTGTTATTGTGGACTCTGCTCATTCTCGCTGTGTGTGTCTGTGTGTGTGTGTGTGTGTGTGTGTGTGTGTGTGTGTGTGTGTGTGTGTGTGTGTAGGTAAGCAGGTTATCCACCCGGGACAGATCCAGGCTGTGCAGGAGGAGTTCTCCCCGAGTCAGGAGAGGGTCCAGTGGGCTAAAGAGCTCATCGCCGCCTTTGACAAACACCAGAAGGAGGGAAAGGTGATTTCACCGCACCATAAAAGAAATTGGCTTTATGATTTGGGGAAAAACAATAAATGGTATTGCTTTGGCCTGAAAAAGTGAATATTTCTGTTCATCGCATGGACAAAGAAGGATGTTTTTTTTGTTTTTTTTAAACAAACGGCCTCAACGTTGGTAACAACAACAACAAAAAAAGACCCGCAAAGTTTTCCTTCCACATCTATCTCCAGCTTGGTGGATGACACTTGCGCCGACCCTTTGTGTGTCCCCTCACACACCTCTGTAGCTCAGAAGAATACATACTGTACACCCCTGGGTGACTCTGGGAGACAGCTGAGGAGAGCGAGGGGGGGGAGTCGGGCCAATTAAGTGTACAATATTATTGTTCCTAATTTAGTGCATGGTTGGATCCTGTGTGTCGGGCTCTGTGGGCCATCGGCCGAGGTAATACACAATCTGCCCACACCTCTCTCCCGGCAAGGGCTGCTCCCACTAAGCATCGCCTGAGGGATTCACATCTTACCCATCCCTCTGCCCGTGGAGCGCCTGTGTGTGTGTGTGTATGTAATGGCTCGACGGTGAGGAAGATCACTCGTTTTGTCTTTTTAAGGGGACTACGGCTTGCTTTTTCTGAATTCTAACCCTGAAACGTTTCTAGCATTTTGACCAGAAATGCACAGTGTTGACCAGTGTGTCCGCTTTTTATTTTGTTGTTTTGTTTGGTTTCGTTTTGTTTTCGTCATTTGGGACTGACACCTCTTTTCTGCAAACTTCCTCAGGGTGCGTTCACCTTCCACGGCAGCATGATCGACATGCCCTTGCTGAAGCAAGCCCAGAACATCGTAACGCTCTCCGCCGCGGTGCCGGAGAAGTGAGTCTGCGTGAGAAGAAACGAGAGGCTGGAGGAAAATGGAAGGTGTTTCAGGTCTTCTGATTAAACCGGCGCCTCGAAAACTTCTGATGTTGAGTCCCGCGGCCTGATGTAAACTTGTTTTTTTTTAGTTTCTGCTGTCATTTCTGAGATGTTTGATTCGAATCGCTTGACTTATGTGGCTCTTTCATCAAAGTTGTGTTTGCCTGCGCTATATTTCCACACATTTTAGACAGTACAGACCCTCAGGCGGTGTGAATTGCACCGGCCTCGTGAGACTGACCCCGACAGTTTTTCTGGTAAGCCCAGCAGAGAGTGCACCATTACGTTGTGTCCAGAGGAAAATGCTCTCTCCTCTCCACAGTCCAGGCGGAGGGGCAAGAGGGTAAACAAATGCACCCAGTCGCTCTCGTGGGTCCATTCACTGGGTCCCGGTCAGACTTCAGCCCACCCCCCACCCCCCCCACCGCCCCCTGCTTGCAAACAGACTCAAAAACTACAAAGCCCGGCCCGCTGGAAGATGAAAAATGACCGGGCGAAAGCAGCTGCCTCCTCCACCGGCCTGTAGCTGAGGACGGGCGGAACCGCGCGCCCAAAAAAAGCATTTAGCTGATCTCTCACTTACAAAAGATTAAGGTGACCTGCTTTTAATGGAGCGTCTTCCAAAACTATTTAATCTAATCAGCGGTGGAACACCAAATTCGAGCTTCTTAATGAGTTAAGTAAAGAAGTCCCGCGACAAATGAAAAGTACAATGGGGCTTTGTGGAACTCTTGTCCACATCTAACTTGCGGAGAATGTGAATGATGTTGGAAGGAGACAGATTAGTGGCCATGTTGCTCCAGCAGACCAGGACTGGGGCTTTGTCTCTCTAACTGTGGATAGGAGGATAATTGAGAAGGGGGGGGTGGCGGGGGGGGGGGGGGGGGGGAGGGGGGGGACGGGGGCGGGGGGGGGTGAGCGGGGTGGGAGGGGGGGGGGGGGGGGGTGTTGAATGGTTAATAGTGCCATTGGTGGCCATGGTAATGAAAGGCGGGCGCCATACCTCCTCTACCCCACCTCATCCACTCGTCTCTGCCTGTGCCTCTCTCTTCCTGTATGATCTATTGTGTCTGGGGCAGAGCTGGTGTCTGTGCCAGGCCAGGCCAGACAAAAAAGATCGAAACCACTCCTGCGTCCAGCCAAGAACCCCAACAGTAAGCTGTCTCTTTGGCATTTGGCCACATATTCCTCCCCCCCCCCCTTAGTTCACTTTTTTTTCTGCCATCAATACGCAGTCCGGCTTGTTTGTCTCCACCCTGTTCGATAAAAACACTCAGAATCTGACCAGCAAAAGCGTAACGGGCGACAAAAACAATGTTTGACTGAAGCGGTTTTGTCAGATTGGCATAAACGTTGGACTGACATGAACTTTTAAATACCAATTTAAATTATGTGCATCTTAAAGTTAGTGAGTAATTGCTGTTTATGAGTGTGCCACAAGCTCAAAATGTAAAACTACTTCATTTTATCATAATAAAAACTTGATCAAACTTTGACTTACTTGGTTTTACATGCTACTAATGTCAAAATCTGAATGGTTGGCGGTGGAGAGTGGTCAGTGACCGTATACAGTGGGATTATGCCCTGTGCAATGAATATTTTTATTTGAGGAAAAGCATTGTTCCCTGTAATGAAACAGCCCCTGACAGAGTCTTTTTTTTTCTGTGCCAGTCTGGCCTGGCTGTGAATACTCGGCCCCGCCAGTCCATCAGAGCATAGCAAGCTGACCGGTTGTGAAGGAGACCAGTTAGATGGGACGACTTGACCCTTTGAGCAACTCTGCACCAACAGGTGTGTGTGTAACCCCCCCCCAAACACACACACACACAATACATCCACTCCCCACCCCCCGCACCAGCACCCCAAGAAAAGAAAGGAAGGAACACCTCAAAACAGAGGAAGCAGGACTTTGGCATCATGCAGGGTTAAAGAAAGCAAAAAAAAAGAAAAAAGTATAAGAAAGAAAAGGGAAGGAATCGGTTTTAAGGATGAGCAGGAAACTATTTGGACAAATCACAACATCTGAGGTGCTCCCCTTGATTTCACGTCTACACTGCAGCCAATAATCTTCTATTTTTCTTCGGGGTTTCGGCTTTTCAAACTCACCCTCCCATCTTTCCTCAGGAGGAGTGAAGTGAGCTGTCCTCTGCTTAGAACTCCCTTTTGCACCTCTGCGACTTTAATTTAATAACATTTAGGAACGGGAGGTAGAGCATTTCAGCCCATCTCTGTTATATTAGAGGAATGCATCCCTGTCTGCCTCTGCTGTGTAATTCTACATGACATTTCTATTATGTGTGGAAGTGATAAAAATCTTCTCCCTTCTCTCGGCGGTTTTATTTAAATACATTTCTCCGGTAGTCCCTTAGAGATTTAATTACAATTAACACGATTATAACCTCACAAAATTGTGACGGGAATCAATTAGGCTGCGAGCAGTATGTCATAGCCCGGTAATGCCTCGGTCGAGATTGCTTTCATAAATAATGAGCGACAGCGCAGGCGGAGAAAATGCATGTATGCAAAACACCGTCAGAGGAAAATTAAAACGAAATGTTTTACATATTTTTCCATTAATCTAAATGGGACCCGTGTGGCAAAGATAGTTTTATTCTAATTCCCCGCCCGGGGATGCTCAAATAATGACTTGATGTTTTAATAGACTTCTAATGACAATGTATGACAAACTAATTGCGGGAGAGGATTATTCTGGAGCCATAAAAAAACGGCGTTACAGTGGTTTGCCACACAGTTTGAGAGGTGTGGCTTCAAACATAACGCGCACGAGAGCCGATCAACATAAAAGATTGAGTTTAAGACAATTAAGACTTTCTCAGTATTCGGAGGGGTGCGTTTTACATGAATGGGAACATTTTCAAAGTGACACCAAACTGTGACGGAACTATTACAACCAGCCCTTAATTTTGAACATATCACAACCCTCAGGCGAACAACAACGAGCTGCTTCTTCTTCTACTTATTTTTTTTTCTTCCGTTTTCTTATCAATTTTGTCTGGTAAAGAGAAAATAAAAAAAAGACTTTAAATGAAAATTAAATTGGTAACTGGCTCTCTTCGCAGATAAGCGTGTTGTCACTGAAGAAATGGAAAATAAATCACCTACAAGAGAAGACTGACATATGTTATTAAGTCTATTTTTAAATTGATTTTATATTAAGGAAATGCGTCTTGTCATTTGAGCCTTTGGGCCCTTACAGCAATCCTCTATTGCTTTAAATGAATAGGCATCATTTTCTGCCAAATCAGTCCTGTGGCAGGAGACGTGACACATATGGCACCTTCTTATTCACCCACTTCATTCTTCACATAAGCCTGAGTTTGAAAGCCTCCCTCAGAATGTCCGGTGTTCTTTGTTTTGTTTCGTTTGGAGGCATCCTCTCCTCCCCTGGATGGGAATAAACGCGCGTTTTTGCGGTCAGCGTGCGTGACGCGACTTTTTACCGAGGCCTGCGCGAGGCTTCTGGCACATGTGGACTATCACTGACTTAATTTCTGAGGATTTTATTTTGTCTGAGTGGCCACGGAATCAGAGACACTTAACCCCATCTTTAACACCCCCATAAATCTCATTTTGACGCAGTAACCCAGGGAGATTTTGATTTTTTTTAAACATAAATTGATCTTTTAATTACCTTTTTTTTTAATTAGCAGTCTGATTTTACTAGGGAAGGCCTGTGAGATTCAGCCTGTATTTATTTAACTCAACCCACCAGAATCTATAGCTCTCTGAAGGCCTTCGTGGATTTCTCGCAATTGATTTTTTACTTCTGGGTGTCCTATTCCATCGGTGTTCCAAAGGTCCTGCCGCTTGTAAATGAAAAAAAAAAAAGATACAGTTTATTTACAGACCTGAGATGTGTATTTCCACATAAATTCACATTTAAACCCCCCGAATTGTGAGCTGGTTGAATTTTTTTTTTTTACTGAGGTCATTTCAGTCTTTTAAAAATGAATTCAGAAAAAAGGATCGGGTATTTAGAAAACGGGTATTTTCTAGGTGACTTTACCTTCCTCTGGAGTCCTTCTCCTGGCCCGACTCCCCCCGGATTCACTTCTCCTTAACGGGCTCAGATCAAAGGCTGGCCTGCCCCGACGGAGACCACTAAAACCCGCCCGCTTTGTCTGCTGTTGCCAGGAGTGAGGAAGGGTGTCCGGAGAGGAGGAGGAGGAGGAGGAGGAGGAGGGTGGCTTAATGAGACTCGTTACAGACACACAGAAGTCTGTACAACTTTTTTTTTTATAGCGTGTGTCCATTTGTCATCGGACTGGACACTTCCTAATGTGGAATCGTATTGTTTATATTATTATTACTATCATAATTAGTAATATTTCTATCATTTGACGGACTCTTTTATTTTTACTCGACATTTTCAGACTCTTTTCACGCGTCGTATTTGACTCTGGACGTATCCACATCTTCAATGGTCACGTGCGCTTTGCGTGACTACAAGAACCCAAATTGAAGACGCACCGGACTTTTTTTTTCTTCTTTTTTCCCCGCCACTTCGTGGTCCTGAACGCACCAGACAGGAGAAGTCCGTAGAAAGTTTAGAACGCGGACAGTTTAGAGGAGAGAAAGGTAACAGCTCCCCCATAAAAAACCAAGACGTCATTGGAGGTCTGTGGTCACACATGATTAAGAGCTGCGATCAGATCTCACACCTGCCTTCCACAGCCGATCGGATATCTAATCCTTTAAAAAAAATATTTAAAAAAAAGGGAGACAAAAAGGATGGTTACATTTGTCAGTGTCACTAAAAAATAAGATGCGTTTTTTTCAGTTTGGAAAATATTGTGGCAGACAACTTTTCGGCCACATATCTGCGCGCGTGTGAAGGCCTAAGTGTGTGTGAGTGTGTGTCTGTGTGTGTGTGTGTGTGTGTGTGGTCACTGACGCGCGTCTTCCCCTCTGATCCCGCTCTGCTGAGCATCCTCCATAAAA